TGAGTTCGTGCAGTGTTCCCCACCCAGACCCTATCCTTCTCCTGCGGGTCTGCCTCCTTGCAGCTTACCTGTCACGACGATGCCAACTACAGTTACTCCGCCTTCTGTCACCCCTGCCACAAGTAAAGCAGCAGACCCAGACTTCCTTGACAATCGACGCAGCATCAGCAATCTTACTTTGCCCAGGCATCACCATGTGGGGCAAGGAGCGATGCATCGCCGGACTTGAAGTCAAGGCACTGCACCCATCCATGTTCTTGTTTCAGAGCTGGAATAGCTACTGGCTCAGATGGATAGCGCGCGGCAAGGAAGCCTACTTTTGTGTTGCTCGCACCAAGCCTGCAATGGTGCTTGTCGGTGAGCTGCTAGCCCAGCTCCGCCATCATAATGTTTACATTGATGCTGCTGCCACCACCTTAGCAGTGCAAACTCAGAAAATATTGCCACAAAAGCTCTCGCTCAGCATCTCATTGCTGAGCTCCAGAAGCTTGTTCCTGTGCAGACGGATCCTGAATCAGCAAGTTGCAGCAAAAACTTCAGCAGAAGGATGCACATGAGCCTATTGTTTCCCCTAAAACCCCTGCCCCTGCCACTTCCTCGGGGCTACCGCACTCCCCTCCCGGTTCTGTTGAACCCTCCAGTGCAAAATCCCCGCCTGCCACGCCTGGCCAACCTTTGCGCGTCAGTTGCCTTTGTCACTCAGCCCGAACAACAACGGGCCCACACCGCCGCCCCCTCAGCCGGATTGCATTTTGAAGCCAGCGTGAGAGCGCTCCACCTGGCTAGCAAGCAACCTTCCTGCCAAATTCCAGGATAAAGAACTTCGTACTTGGATCTCTGGCCTCGCGATTAACGATCGAAAGAAAACCGAGCTTGAAGAACATTACATGAGCACTTTGGACGACGAGGACACAACCCTCACCGCCAAAATGCGTCGCGTCGGAGTGGTGTGGGGCATTCCCCTTAGTGTCATTCCCAAATTACAGAAAACAGCCCTTGCCAGGATCATGGCAGTAGCCTCCTTCATGGAAAGGTGATTTGAGTCACCGCAGCGGGGACGCACCCGGCGGCAGCACATCCGCCAAACCCGTCGTGCCGCCCAATCCCTTCCGAAGATATTCAAGAACTTGCACCTTTCATTTTGCATTTTGACTTTCAGCTTTTTCGCCTTGTGCTTTTCTGCATTGCTCGTGTGGCGTTGGATGAAGTATGCACAAGTCTTTCAGATTTGCATGTGCTGAAAGGTGTCTTCAGAGCAACTGGACTCCACCCAGGTTTTCCTACCTTTGCACAGTTTTGCCATGAGTCGGTGCTGTACCTGCGCTTCAGCCCCATAAAGCGCTTTGCCAAGCTTTACTACGTCGGCAGCGCCGAAGGTTGCACGTCCCTTCGTGAGGCATCCAGGTATCGCAAATTCAAACAAGTGCAGCAAGACAAGCTTGTGTCGGCCGAACTTTGCCTTCGATACTGGGCCAGGGATTCCACCTTTTGGCAATGGGTAGCCGTGCCCATCTCTTCTGCTGTCCCCCCAAACATCATGCGGGACAGAGAACAGGCTATGACCCAAACTCTTCAGCCACCATTAAACTTTCCTTTAATTGCGCGTTGGTTTTGCCCTAAGAAAGGCATCATCCGACCTCCCAATGCCTCACAAGCCAAACAGATTGGCTTCCAACGCATTCTACGCAAGCGACGCAGAAAACTTTTGCTTGCGCAGTCCCTCAACGCAATTTTCGATGCCCGCACCTTTCGCGCCCGTGAAGCCACCTGGGTCCTGTTGACCCAGCTGGGTAGCAACACTGCAGTCAATTTTGAAGCCAGCAAGAGACCTCGCAGCTCTGAGTTTTCGTATCCTGCATTGTGTGCTTTGCACTGCGTGGCTAAGCACCTGCCTGCGTACATGTCGCCACAGACCGTGCGCAACCTTTCACTCCATGGCCTTAGAGTAGCCTTAGAGTTTACTTTATCCCCGGCACTTTGCAGCATGGTCATCTCTGCCCGTGAAGAGGTATGGCGACGTACCTTTTCGCAATCTTTTTCTTCTATGAACTGTAGTCTGTTGTGTCTGCGGTACGTGGACAATCGCCTTTGGATATCTGAAGACAGGATAGCATCGCTGCCTGGCGTCCGCTTGTTCCTCAGCAACCACTTCTACGGGGGCAACGTTGCCCTGGAAGATGAACCCGCTGTTGACTTTGTCGGATTTTCCCTCGACAGTCCAGCCCGCACCATCCGATACAACCGGAGCTGCCACATCAAAGATCTTCCGAGTCCATTGTCAGCATCGTCGCAGAGCACTTTAGTCAGTGGGTTGCTAGCGCTTGCCCACACCATCCGACAGTGCGCATACCCTGCTTCACGGGTGCATTCCGACTTGTGTTGCCTTTGGTCGCTAGCATCGGAACGTAAGCTTCCGGTGCACAACACTGCCTTTTTCCAGAAATTCTGGAACGTTCGACGCAGCAATAAGCAGCCCAAAAGTACTATGCGCTGCTCCGTGCTCTCATGTTCTACAATGCAAGCGCCAGTTCTATTTGTTGTGCCTAGGGAACAGACAGGCTCAAGCCATCAGTTTTTGCGTTCCTACTGTTAGCATGTCGCATCATAAGCCCGACTATGGCTCTGATGAAGCACCTGCAGCGGACCAGCCTGGGACCCGCAGCGGCCTTGCTGAAGCCGTGCTCGAGACTCTTCGTGATCCTGCCGATCTACCTCCCAAAGCCTCTGATCATAGCTCATGCCTTTCGGATGATTCAGTACTACGCGATCAAACTCTTTGCAACTATCCTGCTGAATACATTGAGATCACCACGTGTGACACATCTGAGCTCAAGCAGCGAGTTCAGCAACTTGAAGAACAGCTTCGACATAACATTTTGTGACGAAATTTGTCATGTTCCAGTGACAACGATGCTTAATACCTCTGCACCGATCTTTGCCGCATAATGAGAGCCCGGTTGTGCAAGTTTCATGTGCATTTCCCTTGCTTCTTTTTCCCCGCAGCTGTTTCCTACGTGCATGTACCAGCACCACGTCGGATCGCAACAGGAGCCGATCACCCATCCCTGCAGGGTGGAGATGGACTGGGCGTACAGACGGTCAATCATGGTGGTGGCAGTGGTTCCCTGTGAATCACCAATGGCTTGCAGCAAAGTTTCGGGAAAAGGCACTCTCCCAACCGGTACTTGCCATCGGTGAGCCCCACTCGCAAAAGAAGACGATCACAAACGCCGTAGGAAAGCTTGTCTTCGCTTGAAGCAGTACTTTTATTTAATTAGATTTGCGGTGCTCCTTCACGGAACACGCCATTCTGTTCACGGAACACGCCATTCTGTTCAGAGCGCTCCACATAGTTGTTTTCTCAGAGTATAAGACAGCTCATCGCTGACAGTATGCTCAATCAGGTGCCTGCATGGGAAAATACCGCCACTCCCTGTTCATGCAGGACCAGCAGGTGGCTTTGGTTGCGATTTCACTTTTCCCGTCGCCATTTTCTTATATTGTTCAGGACCCACCGAGCAGCCATGTCCTTTCAAGATGAGTGAGGACAACATCGGGCCCATGCAGCTTTTTTCAGACGACACTAGCTCTTGGCATTCTGCATTTGATTCACCTACATCTCTGACGCAGATTGGTGAAAAGAAAAGCAAGCAAAAAAAGACCTCCAAGGCCAAGCACCTGCACAAAGACAACACCAAGACTCCGATCAGGAAAAAGAAAAATATAATGAAAAAGAAGGACAAGGACCACCGCAAGAGTCGTCCCAAGCCGAGAAAGAGCGTTGTCAACAACCATGCCGCTCCGAGATCTACATCGGATTCTGATCTGCATTTCGCGTCTGGCCTATCTAGTGAACCTGATTTTTTCTTTGAAAACATGTCAAGGCCGCTGACAGTAAACAACGTGTCGGCGGGTTCATCCCGCCCCCGCCAGTCCACTGCATGTGCTAAAGTACTAGTGCGCGCGGGACTAAGGTGCCGATGCCATTTCATTTATGTTTCACGATTCCCCTTTGTTGAGTTTGCACCGATGCCTGCGCCTCAGGACTAAACAAGCATAAGCATTCCCGTGCCAGTTCACTCCTGCAGCAGCTACTTCCGCTAAAGCCCTGGAATAACAGGGCATGTGTGTGTGAATGAGCCGTTTTTCAAACAAGCCAGTAGTTTCCGACCTACTTACAATGCAAGAGCTGTCCCCCATTATGAAACGGACAGCCGCCGATGCCGGATTCAAAGAAGCACTTCATCTTGTACGAGTTGATGTTCGGTAACCTCAAGAACACTGGGGCCAATCGATGAGTTTTCAGCTCCAATGTCGCTCCACCGACATCATCGATCAAGTCAAACGTGCTCTACAGGACCAGATGTGGCAGTCTCTTGGATGGTGTCCGACAATTTCAGCTGGACAGTGAGCACATTCCGTATACACAGCCGATTTCTGCTTTAAACTCTCTTTTCACGTTCGCACTGCATGACATCTCCGTGCGCGAGGTCCAAAAGAAGGTTGCGTCCTTCGCCAGATTCAATGCATTCCAGTAGCAGTTCGTCTGCTAAAGCCCTGGAATACCAGGGCATGTGTGTGTGTGTACACACCTGAACATGGTGAGTGAATGAGCCCTTTTCCAAAGAAGTGCATCATTGCCGATATACGTAGAGTGCAGGGGGGCAAGGGTTCCAGTGACAAGCCTTGCCCAACGAAGCCACCACTGTGTACCTGCTGATTGAATGGCCAGCCCAAAATACCCCAAAACGATGTTGTTTCTGTCATTGCCCTCAATGATTCTGTACGGTTGCTGTAATCTGATCTTGCATTAGGCAGGTCGAGGTTCGTCTCATCAGTTTTCGCCAAGCCTAAGTGTGTGTTTGTATGTGTATATGTATAGTTATGTTTCTGTTTGAGTACTTGAAAAGAAACATGAACATGCATTTGTATGTGTACATGTGTGCTTTTTTCAGCCCCGAGCATCAGCAGCTTGTTAGTGGAACGTTGAGCTTGAGGTTATGAGCTTTCAACTACAGCCGGCTCATTTCCCGAAAGAGTATGCTGCGGCGATCGTCGAGACGCAGGTGCTTTCCGTGACTAATAATTGGTACTGCAAGAAATCACCGGTTGCCACAGTCCTCTACAACCGTTTTGAAAATCACCCACGGTCTGACAAATCTTTGACACATGGCTTTCGCCACTTGGGGAGTTGAAAGCCTTGTCAGAGGAAATGAAGCAGGACATCCAGGTGGCGGAGCAGGAGAACAAGACAAAGGCCCACTGCCGCCTGCAAACCTCCGGATACGGTCGAGCAATACCGAACCAGCAAGGGTCAGCTTCAAATTGAGGGTCGGAGGCTAAGTTTGTTTCATTAACATGCGCCCCATAAGGATCCCTGGCCACACACAAGTGGGCGAGTTCGCAGGTTGCGTCGGGACGTTGTTGTGCCACAAAGCTGCACGTACATGCAAATGGACAGCCTCTCAAATCTTCGGGCTGATGGTGTAAAAGTGGAAGTAAGTGCAAGTGGGTGAAGGGCGGGAGGTGCAGACACTGCGGCAGAGTGTTACAAACACAGTACAAGCACGGTGAACCGGGAAGTTCTAGAGGAAGAAGTGGCGAATGCAAGTTACTGGTTCTGAGGAGTTCCGGGCCGTAGAAACTTACTTGGTCACAATATGCTATCTCCTAGACTACGATGCGGGCCTGTGTAGGTCTGCACATGAGTGTGAAGATGTGCACAGCAGGTCATCCGAAAGCAGACGGAGCTCTTCAGCGCAAGGCGAGCGAATGCCGTGTTCTTTTCCATTGCCGCACTTGTTTTTTCGACACACTTGGCTAAAGCACAGAAAGAACAGCGGCAGCCCGTCGTCGTGTGGCATCGGCAGTGGGCTGTTTGATGCATGCTGGTGTCAGTTTGGAGGCCTGGATGTAGCACCCATGCTGCTATGCTGAAACAGAAACTTCCGCGGAAGCACGGTGCTCTTCCAGAGGGCAGGGCACAACTTGGGGCTCGATGGCCTGTCTTCCCCTGCACGGTTGTCGTTGACCAGGGCAATGTTCCTCCTCACGGTTCCGCTTTCCGCCTGCTTCGATGTTGGCGAAGCTAAGACTAACACTACGACGACGTTGAGTACTACTACATGTGCTGCTATTGCTGCTGCTGCCGCTCCTACTCCTCCGCCTCCTGCTGCTGTTGTTGCTGTGATTATGAGTGCCACGACTCGTAGCACCAGATGGCTCTTGATATTATTTCGACAGATGCCGCAACAGGACTTTGAGTAGGAGCATCTTAACCAGGTATGAAATCGATTATGAATCATATGAGAGGGTCATATCATTTGTGGCGAAGGCTGTCGTGCTTGTTATGCGTGAGGAGGCAATGCACGGATACTGCACTTGAGTTGCGAAGGCCGTCAATTGTTAGCGAGTCTGCGGTCTGCTAAGGGTGAACTGCACAGGTATGGTGCGTTTCTGGTGTTAACAGCCTGCTGGGTGTGATGAAAACGAGCTGTCGCAAGGATTGGGTCGCAAAGCGGGGATGAAAAGAAACTTAAAAGCTAAAGAGAAAAGCTTGCAACCTCGTGATTGCGGTAATGGGAGAGCCCGGGCAACACGGAGCACCGCAGAGTGCGAGGCAACTCGCCCACCAGATCGTCATCAAAGCCGAGGGCGACGCACAGCAAACTCTGGTTTCCAACCAGGACTGCAGTGGGAAGAAAGGGACTTTGTAGGTTGCTATGCTTCTTGTGTTCACACAGGCCGACGTTGCCCAGTTCAAGTACCGGCAACAGGCCGGCAGCTGGCACGGAGGTATGTGGACTTTCAGACTTTTGTCGCGTCAGCTAGAGCACGGTTATGGCCTATGCTAGTCTTACGATGCCTGGTCAGTCGATGGCATGAGTCTCTGCATCGCCCCCATCATCCCGAGAATAACACGAGGTCCTTGCCGAGGGATATGCACGCGCGCTGCAGTTCTTCAGTGCCAGCGGCCAGGACTTTGCTTACTGCAGCCGTTGTCGTCGAAGTGTCGAAGATGATGCCCACAGGGAAACATTGGCTGTCATTGTAGCGACATGTCGGCAAAGTAAAGCGGCCGTCGCTTCTGCTCTTCCTCCATGCATCCTGCCTATCGCATATACATGGCTGGACGTTTGTGTTTTGAATAGTTAACAATGTCTTTAGGACTTTAGGACTTGGGAGCACTCGGATCCGGGTTCTGCTTTGACGCTAGGATATTCTGTGATTGTCTGTGGCTACAGACGAAGTAGCCCCTGCAGAGCAACTTGCCTGTCGGCCTCTACAATGCAACGGGTGCATTGAACGGGCAGCTCTCTCTCTCGCTCTCTCTTTGTCTGCAGTGCTGTCGCCAGAAGAACGAAGCCCAAGTTCCGAGTCAAATCGTGAAAGCTAGCCTGACGATCCTGTCGTTTCTATTTGCGCTGCCAGTAGGGGGCCCGAACCACGGGCTGAGCCGCAAAGGAATTGATACATCCAGGCAACGCCCCCTCCCCCCTCTCCTGTGATGAAGCCTATTGGATAGCTGCGTTGCGTTTCCATCTCTTCACGAGTGCTGTGTGTTGCCTGGGCCGCGTAGCTTTCGTTCCTCTGGCCCCGCCCCTTAAGTCGTCCAAGGGCCAACATGAACCAACCCCAGCAGATTGGTTCAGGATGCTGTCCCGGAATTTTTGAGCTACATGAAGCTGGAGGCTTTTTTGGAAGGGGGTTATGGCTTTGCCAGCGTGCTTTAAGGCAGAATCGCAGCAGCAGCAACTTGAAGCTCTCGTCAACGACGTGACGCCTTTGCCGTGCTTTGTCACCTGGCACAGGCTTTCAAGGCCCACGACAACAGCAAGAAGACCGTGAAGCTGACGCCAGTCTCCTGATAGCCCTATTCCCAAATGTGTTGCAGACTCCGCACTCTGGGCAGTTTCCTGCCAGGCTTCAATCGTTATTTGGGGTCAGACGATTCCTCCATACGGAATCGAGATAAGTAGCACCGCAACGGGGCCAAAGTTGTCCCGGCAACGATGTGAACACGACCACCTCGTATGTGCGACGACCGCACTCTCATGCACGCAGCCAGAAGCCCCGGCAAGTCCGAATCTGTCAGTGTACATGTATCCGATCCGATTGTGCGAAATTCTTCAGCACCGCCTAGAAGAATGTAGGTCGGACTTGGGGGCTTCAGTGTTGGTCCCATGCTGCGGAAGTTGTGCCTGTGCAAGTGCACTGCAATGAGGCATAGGTTTCAAAGTGTACTGGATTTCCAGTTCTGGTGTAGAACCTGCTGAGGCCAATGATTGCCTTCTTAATCTGATGGATGTGCCGTCTGGCAAAATCATGACCACGCACATCCCGAGGGAAGTGACTTCAAACGGGGAAGGCTTGCACCGTTAGCAAGTCACATTCCGGCGCCTCTGTCTGCAATGGCCGACGGCAGTTGTTCCTGTCACGCTGGGCCAGGACGGTCCTCCACTACGAAAGCAAAGTCCAGCTCAAGGAGCTGTACCGGGAGCTGGAGTCCCGGCTCATAGCCGAAAAGCCGCAGACCAGTTGTGACCTTGCAACATTTGAGTGTGCCTGCAGTCTGTGCTGCCAAGACATTGAAAGCGACTTGTCCTGTCGAGGGGCCTTCGACGACCGGTTTTTTATTCCGAACCAAAGCAGTTCGAACAAACGCAGGTGGGTCGGTGCACCAGGAAAGCGATTGAGGAGGTGTTGTTTTTTTTTTTTTGTCTTTTCCGAGCGTCTAAGTGTTTTCGCAGAGCCAAATTGGGCTTAGAGACGAGTCTTCTTTAGCGAGTCAAAGGGTTCGCCTGCACTGGCCTCTTGGAGAGGTCTGGGATTTTTTCGAATGTGTGTGTGTGTGTGTCTCTGTAATTCTGTGTATATGTATATATATATATATATCTGTTGTGTGTGTGTGTGCACCTCACTTGACATGCTTCTTCAGACAGACGTGCAAAGTCTCGCTCTTCAGCCAGCTGGCTGGACAATATCTCAGAGCGTGCATCATGTGTGGCTTGCTCTGTTTTGTTGTTCGAAAAGCTGGCTGTGGCATGTAACCTCGACGGCCAGCCTTCTGGTGAAGTCAGAGGGAAAGCCAAGTGTGTTGCGAAGCGCTGCAATTGTTCTGATCATCCGTGTAAAGTCACACATGGGTCGCTTTCTCTTCCTCTCGGGGATTCTCGGGGGATATTCCTGCAGCATTTCTCCCTGCCAGGTGCTGGTTGGCACATTTGTTCCGAAGCTCCGAACATGGCTTGAGGCAATTGTGAAGGCTCGACCGGCAGTGGCCGCCAGAATCGATTATGCTAGCTTCGATTGAAAGCCTACAGGCTGTTCCGACGAAAGCGGATGTGTTGTCAGGCTGCCAACTTTATGGATCAGGACGCGATGCATGGCTCCCTGAACTGTTCAACATGAGCAATCGGAGTTTGCTTGTGATGGCTTGAGCTCAACTTCGCCAACAGAAGGGCATGCATTCTCAGTAAAGATACCTCGTGAGCTCTTGACATGAACTTCAATGGCACCTCCAAGAATCCTGCAGTTTCGAACCTGTGACCCAGGTCTGTTGACCTCCAGGACCTGCTGAGAGCCACAGGCCCAGATACTCGTCTGCCTTCTCTGTGCATTTCCAGGCCTGCTGGCAAAATGACACAAAGGTTCTGTTCGTAGCTGCTTACACCAGCTTAGGCGCGCCACCATGCGATTCTCACTCGGCGCTCCACGCAGCACGTCGGGGTCATGCTGTGCAAGCTGGAGCAGGAACCGTCTTGACAGGTAGGGTACCATGAGTCTTCTCTGCTGAAAAGCCTCCGCAACTGCTCTGACCAGCTGGTGACACATGCTTGGTTCGGTGACACTCATGTCAAATGGCAGTGCCAGCAGAGACCAGCACTATCTAGCGCCGTGAGATCTGAAGCTGGGATGGACAGTGTCACGGTGGTTGTTGAGAGCCGCAATTCAACACGAAGCTGACTGAGCTGGCAATAGGCTGCCGAAGACAGAACAACACCTGCCAGCAGGACAGTCGGAAGCTCGCATCACTGGGTGTCGTCTTCAACTTTGAGGAACTTCAGGTGCGGTGCGGGCAGGGCCGAGGCCGAGGGCCGTCCCTGCGGCGAAGTGCATCGTTTCTCTTGCCCTTTGCAGTGTCTTTCGCTTTGCTGCTTCGTCATTGTCGCCTTCAGGAACGGTCGGCGATGCCAGGATGATCTTCTAATGATGTGATGTCCTGTAACTGTAAGAGCGGGCTTGGAACGGAAGCACTTGGGAGGGTGGTCAGAGCTCCAGGCTGACAAGCTCACTTCTGCGTGTCCGTCACTTCACTTTCTGGACATATACCCGCAGTTGCTGTGCTTCTGGATTTGCAAATTTGCAAATGCATCAGTGTCAACGAATTTGAGGTTGTGGAGTTGTATTGCTCTCGTGCTAGATCCACGATGACGACCAGAATGAGCTGGAGAGCTTTCAAGATGCTCGGCTCCCAAGATCGGCTTTGCTAGAGCTGCCGAAGAGGCCACCGATGCCACCGTGCCTGTCTGGCTCCATGACAGGTTTTTCAGCAGTTTATCGGTCTGCATCCAGGCGACGGGGCGAGTACTTTGCACTTCTGCAGCCTCTGTGCTTGGAGTGCGCCGAAGTCGCTGGCCCAAGCGCAGGCCTGCCACTAGAGCCTTTGCCGGCGGAGGAGGAGGAAGACCCTGCTGCAACGCCGATTCCTCAGCTCCCATGGCAGGGCCAGGTCGGCCTCTCCTCTGAGCATGGGGACCAAGGATGAATCTGCTCGAGGGCCTCTCTGACCAGGCACCGACAGAGTGCCGAGCTCAGTTGGATTTTCTTACCAGCTTAGCAGGTCACTTCCTTTTCGTGCTTGTGACTCGTTGTAGATACAGGAGTACAAGAAGTTCCATTCGCTTGCTGAAGAGACGTTGTCGTGCTGCGTTGATCGGCTGTCGAGTTTTGTTTCGGCGGCCCTGCTTTGACAATATTTCCTTTGGCTGTCTGGTCATCCAGCAGTGACGTCAGGAGTACTCTACCGCCACGGTTTCAAGTTGAAGCACAGTGTGCCTATTGTGCTGTTGGCGGCATTCATGTTGGCGATGTTGTCGCAGCGGGAGATAGTGGTGTCTCACAAGATGACAACACTTCCCTTGGCTGTATCTGAGTGTTCGTTGAAGATAGAGGAGTACGAGAAGTTCCATTCGCTTGCTGAAGAGACGTTGTCGTGCTGTGTTGATCGACTATCGAGTTTTGTTGCGGCGGCCCTGCTTTGACAATATTTCCTTTGGCTGTCTGGTCATCCAGCAACGACGTCAGGAGTACTCTACCGCCACGGTTTCAAGTTGAAGCACAGTGTGCCTATCGTGCTGTTGGCGGCATTCATGTTGGCGATGTTGTCGCAGCGGGAGATAGTGGTGTCTCACAAGATGACAACACTTCCCTTGGCTGTATCTGAGTGTTCGTTGAAGATACAGGAGTACGAGAAGGTCCATTCGCTTGCTGAAGAGACATTGTCGTGCTGCGTTGATCGACTATCGAGTTTTGTTTCGGCGGCCCTGCTTTGATGACAATTTGAGCAGCGTTTTTAATTTCCGTCTCTTGACGGAAGGCTACAGCTGGACACAAAACTTTCACTCGATCTGAGAATTTCTCTGGGACTGTGCACGCGGAAGGACGCGGAAGGGCTGCGGCAGGCGTTGCTCCGCGGAAGGGCGCGGAAGCATCAACTATGTAAGCCGCCGTGCCAGAAGAATACTTCAGTCGACCGAGACTTAACTTGAACCAGCTATATACTGTCCTGTACTCTTCCAGGGTTGAGGTCTTCTTCCAGGAATCCTAGGCACGGCCAGGAAGCAAGTGGAAGTCCTGTTCCCCGGAACGGGAGTGAGCGTAATACGTCAAGAGGGGTTTATGCTCTTGCTGAAGGGTTCGCTTGCAAGACGGTTTGCAGAAGGGGGAGCGGAAGGGACAACATGCAGTGACTCAGGAACGTGCCAATTATACGTGCCAACGCTTAGAAGCGCGGAAGGCTGCGGAAGCAGTGGCGGAAGGGTTTCGCGGAAGGGGTTTTTGCGTCCTTGGGATTGAAACAGAAAAGAAACACAGCTCATGTGTGCTTTGGCTGTCTGATCATCCAGCAACGACGTCAGGAGTACTCTACCGCCACGGTTTCAAGTTGAAGCACAGTGCGCCTACTGTGCTGTTGGCGGCATTCATGTTGGCGATGTTGTCGCAGCGAGAGATAGTGGTGTCTCACAAGATGACAACACTTCCCTTGGCTGTATCTGAGTGTTCGTTGAAGATACAGGAGTACGAGAAGTTCCATGCGCTTGCTGAAGAGACATTGTCGTGCTGCGCTTTGACAATATTTCCTTTGGCTGTCTGCACATCGGCACATGCAGCGTCGATGCAAGGAGCCTGTTTTCAAGTTGAAGGCCGAGGGGGCGATGACCTCTCTTGGCTGTATCTGAGTAATTATTGGTACAAGAAGCTCCATTCGGTCGCTGAAGATGTCCACTGTTGTTGTCTCTCCCCAGACATTTTCTTGCTTTGCTTGATCCACTGTCGAGTTTGGCTGTGGAGTTCATCCCCGAAGAGCAGCTTCAGCTGTGGATAACACGGATGGAACCTGTTTTGATGACGAAAGTTCCGCTGGCTCTTTGAGCATCATGCAGGGTGCCAGGAGCCTGGTTTCAAGTTGATGGCTCAGGGGTTGGCGCATTCTCACGCAGGTGAGGTTGGTGATTTTGCTCGGAGTTGGCAAAACCGCAGAAGCAGCCTGCGGTGTGTCGCGATTATGGACAGCATATCTTTGGCTGCATCTCTCTGGTCGTGAAGGTACAGCACGTGAAAGTCCCGTTGTCTTGTCGCAACAGTTGCAAACATGTTGGCCCACGGCCGCATCTAGCTGCAGCTTAAGCGTCACTGTCGTTAAAAGCTCAAGAGGAAACACAATTTATACATGTTGCTTTTTGCAAGCTTGGAAATGAATGATTCGGGCGGACGAATGCTGTGCTTCTATGCTGCAGCAAGCAAGCCTGCCGATGTCAGCTTCAAGACGTGCGTGCGATGTGAGCCTGACACGGGCACATCTAGTTGTGTGTTTGTTTGTTTGTTTGTGTGTGTGTGTGTCTGCATATTGCAAGGCTTCTGATTCAGTAGGGTTTCTTACATTTTCTTACAACGCTTGGTCTGTCTTTCCCAGTAGCATGTCGGTGCTAAAACCCTCGTCGTGAACGCCACTGTCTGCCAAGGATCCGGCGGCACAAGCTGCTAAGGCCAAGTGTTTCATTTTTGGCGGCTGTCAAGGAGAGTCGCAAGAACTGTTGGTGTTTGATGCTGTGCAAGATGTCCCCAATCGCTTTGTCGCAGTCTGTCTTGCCATGCCCACGCAGATTTTAGTTTCAGCTTTATCGCTTCGATGTCTCTTGTCCACAGAGAGGTTTACCAGGTGCCGAATAATCGGATACAAACCCTGACCTCTTGCCAGGTGGCAAGCAGCTTTGCGTCGCCTAGCCAGCACAGGAGGCTTGGTTCTCGAAACGAGCCAGCTGTGCTCGGGTTTGTTCACGGGGCAAAGACCAGCACAGGTTGGTCCCTAGGCTCACTCAACGGGTTCCTCTTCCGCTTCCATGCCCGAGCTTGTTCTCTGGCCACTTGCAGCTCTCCTTCGTCTCGGTTCGCGGTGCCACCTTGTGGGTAGAAGCCTCTTTTGCACTTTCACCCCGTGCCTGGCTTTTGGTGCCGTCGCGGGCTGGCTTTTGGTTTGGGGGAACCGGCTCGGGTTCACCAGTTTCTGTTGCAGTGCACTTTATAGGGGTAGAAGTGCAATATCTGACGAGCCAACCAGAATGCTTGATCTGGCTCATCCTATGAGACAAGCAGAAGACAGGGCAAGAGGTAGGAGTGTGTAGTGCTTGCTGCACCCCGGATCTGGCCGCTATCAGCTCCGGAAGTTTCAGCCCACCTTGGACCTTCGACCTGCGCTTCTGTTCCCGCAGGTCCTCTGGTGCCGGAGCAGCCTTCTCTGGAGGTTCTGGAGTCCGGGCCACGGAGATTCGACTGCGAGGCTTCGCCGACCCAATCTTCTGCCTGTCGGCTCAGGTTGGCGACCACTCTGCTGCTTCCGCAGCTGCTCCACAGCAAGGCATCCTGAGGGCATCCGAGCGAGAAAGCAGCACCCTTCCTATGCCATGGCACCGGTCTCTGCGAGTCCCGCCGCGACAGGCTTTGAGCTTCAGCGCGGGTAGTGATTCTGCGTGCTGAGCCTAGTCGAAGAGCCTAGATGTGGCTTTTTGTTGAGGGGAAAGGGCCCTATTAACCTTTGAAATTTAAAATGTATCATTTCTACAGCATTGCACTTCACGTGGGTTCCTGTCTGCTTCTCAGGCGAAGCTGCCCGGCCTTCGACATGTCAGAACAAGTGCGGGCTTTGGCTGTCCGGCTTTGCACATGAAGAGTCTAGAGCTTCATGCATGGCAGAGGCTTTTGGGCACATGGCCCCAATGCCTAACGTGGCCTTAGGCGAGCTGGAGGCCTGCAACTCGTATGAAGCGACTAACAGTCTCAAAGGTCTCAGTGGCGTCAGTTTCTTCTTGTGCAATGCAGTTCTCTTGTGCGAGGTGCTCCTCTGCGACATCTTGGCGGAGCTCTGCGACCTTTATCCGAAACATATTTGTCCCCTGCTCTGGCGCCTGCAGGGTGCCGAGGGTGCCTGTCACATCTTGTCACTTGGACCTCGGACATACGTCGACGACTGAGGTTTCGAGAATATTTGAAGGATCCTGGACACTGGCATTCCTGCTTACTGGCACGGTACCCAGGGACGGGCTGATTGCCAAGCAACGATGTGCTAGCGTTGGACCGGCAGGTGTTGGCCCTTCTGACGCGGCTCTCGTGCTTCCCTTGGCCTCTGCCGTATCGGAGGGGGTGGGGGAACAGGGGTGTTACAGTTTAACCGACCGCGACTTCAAGGCGGTGAATTTCGTGTCTTCAGCTTTCACTCGGGTTTCGGCTTCTGCCAAAGCCAAAGCCTGACCGGCACAACAAGGCATGAGCACAAGCAAGGCAACCATAATGCCACAGCCCCACGGCGTTCCGGCCTCACCTTGGGCTCTGCGGGCCTGCAGCCTGTGGTACAAGTTCAAGTAATCCGGGCCACTCAGAACGGTTCTGATCCTCGGAAATAAGCGTTCGTGCAGGTCGCAGCTGAGTTCCTGGCTTCCCGTGGCCATGCGCTTGGCTCTACACCCATCCTAAACACAGCCGAGCTTGCACTATCTTGCAAGGATGCTGTTTGCTGCCTCTTCGACGTGCTTCGTCAAGTGCAGGAGCAGCTCACGCCGTTCACTCGGCTGTGAGAAGCTGGCGCTGTTAAGGATCTAATGGTGATCGTCTTATGTACTTCAGTTTGTCCAGACGCAAGTTGGTGCGACAGCCTTTCCGGAGCGGGAAGGGATGCGGATCCTCATTTGCACAAAAAGGGCTGTCGTTTTTGCTGGCTGCTTCGTGGCTCTCTGCATGCTGCCGCCGGCGTGCAAGTGACAACCATCGGCCAGCACAAACTACGCGTTGGCTTCACACAGCACGGTGCAGAAGGAAAAGGAATCCAACTCGAATCTTCCGATTCACTGCGCCCAACAGGAGCGCTGTACCCAGCTTCGTGGGCAGCCCCGAAGCTTGCCCTGAAATCTCGCAGCGCTCGCGTCTGTGTCTTGGAGTCTTTGTGTCTCGGCATCTCTGAGTCTTTGTGGCTCGGCATCTCTGTGTCTCTGTATCTTTGAGTCTCTGTGTCTCTGCATCTGTGCGTCTCTGTGTCTCTGTGTCCTGTGTCTCTGTGTCTTCGAGTGTTTGTGTCTCTGCATCTTTGCGTCTCTGCGTCTCCGTGTGTTTGAGTCTCTGAGTCTTTGTGTCTCTGTACCTCCGCATCTTTGGGTCTCTGTGTCACTGTGTCTTTCAGTCTTTGTGTCTTTGCATCTCTGCCTCTTTGTGTCTGTGTGTCTGTGTCTTTGTGTGTCTGCGTTTCCGTGTCTCGGTGTCTCTGTGTCTTTGACTCTGTGCGTCTCTGCATCTCCGCATCTTTGCGTCTCTGTGTCTCCGAGTCTTCGTGTCTCTGCATCCCTGCAAGTTTTTGTCTTGTGTCTTTGAATCTTTGTTTCTCGGCATCTCTGCGTCTCTGTGTCTCCGTGTCTTTGAGTCCTTGTGTCTCTGCATCTTTGCGTTTCTGTGTCTTTGAGTCTTTTGAGTCTCTGCATCTCTGCATCTTTGCGTCCCAGTGTCTCTGTCTCTGTGTCTTTGTGTTTTTGTGTGTCTGCGCTTCTGTGTCTCTGTGTCGCGGTGTCCCTGTGTCTTTGACTCTTTGTGTCTCTGCATCTCTGCATCTTTGAGTCTCTGTGTCTGTTTTGTGTCTTTGAGTCTTTGTGTCCTCTGCATTGTTGCGTCTCTGTGTCTCTGTGCCGCTCTCTCTCTCGCTATGTACATATACATATGTCTCTGTGTGTATACATTCCTTTAACATACATGCATATATATATATATACATGCATGCATATATATATACACACATGTAATATGTGTTTATCTACATATATATACACATAGATAGATATTATGTGTATCCATGCACCCGTGACTTGAGACCTCTGGAGCCGCCCCAAAAAATAGAAGGGGCGGAAAGTCAGAGATGCATGTTTTTGTGAACAGCCGCATTGACGGCATACCCCAGGGCTTTCCGCTAGATCGCTTGTGAATTGCAACCTGCGGTGAGAGACCAATGCGAATCAGGACGCACGCATTTTCGTTCGTCGGTACTAACCCCAAGGAAGCTTTTCGGGTGGCTCGAGACAGGGTAGTTTGCGGATGTATCCAGCACCACATCCAGAATTCAGCCGAGGCATCGGCGGGAAGAGGTCTTGACAGCCACAGGGCGTTTGCTGCGCTCTCGGATGTTTTGGGCTTTGAATGCTGCAGTTGGCAGTGTGCACGGCACTAGGAGGACGGTCCTTTGACTTCGGGTTTTGACTTACATGGAATGTATGTGTGCATTTAGGCAATTTCAGCATGCTTCAGCCAACTCGACCGAATGACTCTGAAGAATGCTGTTGAGGACGAGGCTTCATTCACCCCATGTTCTGTCGACTTGCTGGCGCAGTTGGGGCTTAAATTGCCAGAGTCAAAGGTGTTGTCGGACTGTTCACCGTTGACTGTTGCGATCTCTTTGTCTCTCTGAGCGCCCATATACACAATTCAACCGGTGACTTTCTATCTATCTGTCTATTTTTTTATAGGCTGCCAAATCAATATGTACATAATATGTACGTATATGTGTACATGTTTATACTTACTTGCATGTCTCTTTGCATTTAGATTCGTCCTGACATTCCCAGAATTTCCGTTTATGTTTCGTACATATACGTACACCACAACATATATGTATACATCTATTGTGTGTGCATGCATATATATATATACATACATACAAAACTTTTGAATTTGGAGCTTTTTTGCATTTTTAGTCTTTTTGATGGTTTTTCTTGGTTGGTGGTTCTGGCTTTCCTGCATCCCATCACGTGCAACTTTGGTGTGTGCGTCCTACGTATTATTTACACGGGATGCGACTCACTGTAACGATGCGGACCACCCTTGCTTGTGGAAAACCTTGAGATCGTAGCTGTTTTTGGGAGACACGATTCAGGGTCTTCCTTCGGGTTCCGCGAGCCAAGGGGTGTACGCATAAGTATGGTATTCACACGCCAGCAATATGTATATGTATGTGTGTGTGTATATATATATGTATATAGACAGATTGATAGATAGGGACAGTATATGTTTACATACATACATATATATATATATGTATATATATATATAAGTGTGTATGCATATACATATATATAT